AGGCCTTCATATTCTGCTATGTTGTTTGTTGATTTGAACTCTAGCCTTGCTGCGTATTTCAGTCTGACGCCGGAGGGTGCCATTAGGACGGCGGAGGCTCCTGCTCCGGCTTGGCCCCAGGCTCCATCCGTGAATGCTATCTAGCCTTGAGTGGTTGGTTGTGCCTTGGGCCCTGTCGGAGGTGTCCAATCTGCTACAAAATCGGCTAGTGCTTGTGATTTGATTGCTGTTCTGGGGACATACGAGATACCAAACCGTGATAGCTCTGTAGCCCATTTGCCTATTCTACCGGAGGCTTCTTTATTTCTGAGCAAGTCTTGTAGTGGCAGCGATGTTAGAACTGAGATTTCGTGGGCTTGGAAATAATGCTTTAGTTTTCTTGATGCCATCAGCACTGCGTAGGTAACTTTTTCTACCTCAGTGTAGTTTAGCTTGGCTCCGGACAGTGCTTCTGAGATAAAATAAACTGGCTTTTGAGTTTTACCTGATTCTTTTTCCAGCTCGTAGACTAAGACTGCGCTGACTGCATGGTCGGAGGCCACCACATACAACAATAGGTGGCTGTCTGATTCTAGGACGGAGACCACCAGTGAGTTTGCCAGATACTCTTTCAAGTTATGAAATGCCTCCGACTGCTTGGACCCCCATTTGAAGTTGCCTCCGCCCCTCAGGGCTTGGAAGAATTGTAGGCTGCGTTCTGCTGATTTTGAGACGAATCTGTTGAGCGCTGCTATTCTTCCCGTCAGCTTTTGCACTTCTTTCTTGTTTTTGGGCTCTGCCATTGTCATTATTGCTCTGGTTTTGTCCGGGTTCGCTTTGATGCCTTCGCTGCTTATGATATATCCGAGCATCTTCCCTTTTGTGACTCTAAATATACATTTTTCTAGGTTGAGGCGAAGGCCAGCTGTCCTGAGGTTGGCGAAGGTCTCCTGTAAGTCAGAGACATTATCATTCTTGTTCTTGCTCATGACCACTATGTCGTCGACGTAGGCTATGATGTTTCTATCTAGTTGTGAGCCCAAAACTTCCTTTGTCATTCTAACAAAGGTTGCTCCGGCATTTTTGAGGCCCTCTGGCATTCTAGTGTAGCAATATGTCCCGAATGGAGTGGTGAAACTTGTCTTGTCTTCGTCTTCTTTTTTCATCCAGATTTGGTGATACCCAGAGAAATAGTCGAGGAGAGAGAACCTCTGGCATCTGGCTGCCTTGTCGACGGAGGCATCTATTCTTTGCAATGGGAAAGGGTCTTTTTGCTAGCTTTATTCAGATCTGTGAAATCTATGCACATTCTCATTTTGCAATTCTTCTTTGGTACCAGTACTACGTTTGCAAGCCATTCTGAATACTTGACTTCCCTGATCACTTTTGCATCTAGCAATCTTTGCACCTCCGCCTTTGCTGCCAGGATTCTGTCCTCCAACATTTTTCTCTGTTTCTGCTTTCTTGGTCTCATGTTTTCATTGATATCCAGTTCATGCTGTATGATGTCCCTGCTGACTCCCTGGAGGTCGGAGGCTGACCAAGCGAAGATGTCCTTGTTTTTTACTAGAGTTTCCATGAGTTCTTCCTCCTCTGCCTTGCTCAATTCTGAGCTGATTGTTACTTTTCTGTCTAGTAACTCCTTTTCTAGAGGGATCAGCTTTGTCTCTTCTTGACCTGCCATATCTGTTTTTCCTCTAGGCATATCCGGAGGCTCTAGTTCTTTATCTGCCGACTCGACTGCATTGATGTTTCTTTGGGCTCTGTAGATAGCTTTTTCTATGTTTCTTGCTTCTTTCTGGCTGCCTCGGACTGTGATAATACCATGGAGTGCTGGTATTTTCATGCACAGGTAGGCCATATGCAGGGTTGCGTTGAATTTGGTTGTGAATCCTCTGCCCAAGATGGCATTGTATGGGTAATGCAGATCGACGACGTCGAAGGTTATGTACTCGGTTCTAGCATTTGCTTGGGTTCCAAACGACACTGGGAGTGAGATTTTTCCTAATGCTTGTATCTGCTTGCCTCCGAATCCTATTAAAGGGGATTCGGAGGGCTGTAGTTGATTTTTGCTGAGCTTCATTTGGTCGAAGGTATTTGCAAAGATGATATCTGCTGAACTGCCAATGTCAATCAGTACTCTGCTTATCTCCCATGCTGCTATGTTGGTCTTGATCACCATTACGTCTGCGTGAGGGTAGCTCTCTAGCTGGAGATCTTCTTCTGTGAAGGTGATTGGGACTCTGGACCAATCTGTGTATTTCGCTGGGCCTTGGACTGCTACGTTGTTTACTAGGCGGAGGTGATCCTTTTTCTATTTTTTTGTTTGAAACTCCATTGATGATCCTCCGGCGATTGGTAGTATCATGCCTATTGTTGGTAGCGGTCCATGGGGTTGACTTGGTTTTCTTGGTTTGGCTCATTTTTTGGTGCCGGTGGTTGGTTGTGAGGTGGCGGTGGAGGCGATTCTTTGCGTGTGTGTTGTCATGTTATTGGAGGAGCTCGAACCTTATTTAGTTTTGTGTCACTGGGTTTGTTTCGAGGTAGGTTATATGGGGAGATTTTGGGTTTATGTAGGTCGCTTGCCTCCGACCAGAAGTTTTCACGGAGGTCAGCTGTGGAAGGCGATGACCGCCATGCTGGTAGGAAGTTTGGGTAATAGGCAGAGGCCAGTGTGGAGGGATGTATTTGGGTTGCGTTTAGCGCTGGGTACATTGGCAGTACTGCTGGTGCCCAGTTGTGTAGGTGGTGTTGACCTCTCTTGTGCTCTGCTGTGTCGGAGGTTGGGCAGTCTGCTTGTTCTTCATCCTTTCCTGTGTTTCTTTTGTCTCCGGACAATCTTTGGTGCTGTGCCCTACGTTTTCGCCGTGAAAAACGCAATATGGCCTGCGTTGTTTCTGGTTGTGGTTTTTGTTCCAGTTTTTGCCTTGGTAACCTTGCCGACCTTGGTTCCTGGTCTAGGTCTCCGGCCGTGCTGGCGCTTCCAGTTGCCCTTGCTCGGGGTGAGGTTGACCCTCGATGCTGAGCACTTGCCCCTGGCTTGGTTTCTGATTTGATGCGTTCTGGTTTCTTATAGCTCTTCTGGGAGTTTTTGCTGTCTGTTTTGACTCTGCTCCTCTAGCCTTTTCCGGAGGTCATTGTCTGATCTGCAGTATTTCTCAAACTCGTCATACAACTGTTGTATGAAAGTTGGTTTCTTTCTTGCTAGGTGTGCAGCGAATGGCCCGATTCGGAGGCCTTTGATCGCTGCTTCGATGGCGATCTCGTCTGGGACATCTGGTGCCTTCGCCTTTAGTTGCACGAATTTTCGGAATTAGTCGTATAGTGTCTCTCTCTGCATTTGCTTGCACTGGAACAGATCTGTGGAAGTCAGCGACTGTGCTGCTAACCCCTTGAAGTTTGCCAATATCTTGTCCCGGAGGTTCTCCCAAGAATAGACTGTGCTTGGTTTGAGCATAGAATACCAAGCCAATGTGTCGCCTTCGGCTGCAATGACAAATGACTTTGCCAAGACGGCGTCATCTCTGTCGGCGGAGGCTGCTGCTGCCTCGTAACTCATAATAAACTGATGGGGGTCTGTCTTGCCGTTGAACTTTGGTAGTGTGATTGGCTTGTACGCTGTTGGCCATGGCGACTGTTGTATGCCTTCAGAAAGTGGGAATTTGGGATCGATAGGCCTCCACATCGCCTGAGATGGCATCATGGTCGGGCTGATTACTGGCGGAGGTGTTGCTGTGAAGGCTGGGATTGCGGAGGTTGACGCTGGTAGTGCATGCTGCATACTTAGCATCTCAGCATGTAGGACTGCCAACTGCTGTCTTATTTCTGTTGCTTGTGCTGACGCTTGAGTAGCTTGCTGATTAGCTGCGAATGCTACTGCCATTTTGTCCCTCTCTTGTTGCACTCTTTGCAATTGTGCTTGCAGCTGTTGCAGTTCTTGCTCGAGTGTTGTGCCTGAATTTGGTTGGGCCTCCGGATCTTGAATTTCTAGATCTTGGGGTTCCGGTGGTTGACCCTGGGCATCTGCTCTAGTGTCATCCTCCGCAGGCGAGGTTGCGTAGGTGCTACGAGCCGTGCGCCTAGGCCTTCCTCTCTGACCCGTGGTCGTTGCTGCTCTGGTGGTGGTTTTTCTTTTCCCTGCCATCGTTAGTTTGCCTTGGCCAAACCACGGTGGGCGCCAATGTTGAGATTAGCGGTCTCAGACAGCGTGGAGGAGACAGAGGCCTCCGCCCGCCGAGCGTCGCCCTCAGGCGGGGGCTCGGGATAGGCACGACAGGTGGGCGTGTAGGAAACTGGCACGGAAAGCTAAGGTTTCATTAATTCATCCACCATCCCTCTGAATTGTTACAAGTGGTCCCTATTTATAGGGCTCAACTACTTCTTGACATAATTTATTACAATGCCCCTCAACTGCTACAATACATTCCTGGAATATTCCGCCACTAGTCTCTTGTTTGCGGGGCAATCCTGCCACACCGTCTTCAAGTAATGGGCCTCCATAAGCGGTCGGCCCACCGTGCCTTGGTCTTCGGCCCAGAGGCCTGGGTTCCCGACGCTGGCCTCCGTCTTCAGGGGCGCGCCGCTGCCTACGCGGGTCTCCGCCGGTACGGTCGGAGACATCATCCGTAAGTCTCCGCCCAGCCGCGCGGGGCCATGCTGGCGCGCTCGCACGGACCACGGGCGCCTGCGCTTAGGTATCTGCACACACTTAGGCAAGATTGTTTGTTTGATTAGTTCGGGGGTAGGGCGGCCTCCGCCCTCATCGCCGGAGACGCCCGTCAGCCGAAGCGGGGCGGCGTCCGCCTGAGCGGCCGGAGATGTCTGTGCCTGGCCCGGGCGGAATCCGCGACAAGCTCGCTGAGCCTCGTGCAGCGCCCTACGAGCATAGCCAGGAAAGTTCCTTTAGTCAGCGCCAGATCTCCGCCCTAAGACGGTCGAAGACGCCTTGGTGACACCTCGCCGTCGGAGGCCTTCGCCATCCGCCGAGGCCGTGTTACAACAGTCTTTTTCATTTGTTCCAGATAAATCTGTTTGCAGGATTTGCAGTGGCAATTTTCATATTCTACACAGTTACTCCTTTCGTTCTTAAGGTTAAGATCTCCAACATGTCAGGGATGGCATGAGCTCCACAAGTAGAAACTCCTGTCAAATGGTTATGGTCTATTAATAAAATAACCAAAGAATAAAGGAAAACTGTTTAAATAATAGTGTCTGACTACACAATATCAGAAAGAAGAAAGGTCCGCTTATTGTAATTTCAATCGGTTGAACAATAATTTAGCCTTTTTATTCTTATATGCTCTTTTTGCAGATGAGTGGATCTACATTGTTCAACCTTTCACTGCTAACATCTGACATGTGGGCAGTTGCCATTCGAGTTTTATTCTATCAGCAACAGGTGATTTCTCTGAACCCAGAATACTCGTCCCAAATGGTAACATATTACCCAATATGCTCACATATTTCATATGCAATCCACAGATAAACTGGTTGTACTACCTAGCATTCACAGTTGTGGCCATTGGATTAATCATCTATTCGTTGAAGTAAGTCTGTATATACCAATAATTTGCAGATATGTGACTCAATGGCTGCAGAAACCTAACAAAATTTGTTTCTTGTGATATATGAAGTGATAGTTCTTCAGATGATGAAACAGCTGCAAGTACAGAAGCACCAGCCCAATATCAGCAACTACCAATTGAAGACAATTCAACAAGAATTGGTTCCAATTCAGGTAGCCAAGAAAGGACACATAAGGAAGAAGTTCATATCTGTTAGCGGGGTACGTCAATGGATAGATTTGTACCAAATCAAATATGGCATAGAGATATGCAGAGTAAAATGTTGGTCACTTCATGTATAGGAAAATGTTTAATTGTCTCAAGAAGCAAAGCAAGATGAGAAAGGGAATCAGAGTTAATTTTCTCTACACGTCAGTCCAGCAGATCATTCACAATGTATAAAAAATACATCGGGTCAAAAGGATCTTCGACTAGGGATTGCGAACCATCACAGCTGGTCTGCAAAGCATAATAGCAACAGTGCGAACATGTAAAGGGAGTTACTAGTCACTAAAGCTCTTTCAAGAATTGCCTATGAAGGAGAAAAAAATATTTCTGAATAATGTATGGATAGCTTACATGCTTTAGTGGAATGCAGAGTGCTGAAACACCACAGTATTTTCTTGTTAGGAGAATTATGATTTAAAAATATTTTCTACATTACTCATTGCAAAATTCTTTGAGAAGTATCATTCCCCGTGAATTGGAAGCTAAAAGGAGTAAGTGGAAAATAAGAATTTGGTTGAACTCATCTGAATGATCAGGATATTGGCCAGTCATCCAGTTCAAAAGATATACTGAAAAATCTCAAACTTATGGTGATTGAAACTTGAAGGTTGTCGAGAAGCAAGATTGCATGAGTGGAATTTATATCACTGAAGCAGAAATTGACAACTGTAATGTCAAACAGAAACGATACGCAGCTCACCCTTTTTTGGTACGGGCTCTTACCTCTTTTTTCTCTTAATGACACACAGTTCTCCTGTGTCGAGAAACAAAATGTCAAATAGAGTAAAAAACCTGTACCACAAGTCCACAGCAGACATAGATAACTGAAGTATCAAACAGAGTAAAAACTTAAACAGTGAGCAAACATTGACAATTAAACAAAACTTAAACAGCAAGTAAACATTTTCAATCAAACAGAGTAAATATACAAATCCGCTGGTCAAGATGTTCAATTACCCTTCGGTAACCTTGGCTGCCAGGGAATCCAATTATCATTTCTAAACTGCAAGCCAAAAACGAATATCAAATAATCTTCGAACAAGAAAGTTTAGGCACAGTCATATGGACAGTTTGCTAGAACTATAGCTCAATGTCTGAATATAAATTGAAGGGGCAAAAGAAATTCTAAAACCAAATTAAAGCACTGAACTTGCATCCACTCTGTGGAATAACCATGAAGGCCTACTAACCTTCACTCAGATGATACGCGACAGTATGTGCAGTATGCACATACATCACCCCTTGCATGGAACGTGTTCAAACTCCAGAAACAAATGGAACCGTTTCTGCTACTGGATGCAACGGCATTACAGAAATTGAATCTAACTACACCAATGTCTCTTACAGGTGACGCCGCCTGTGCTCTCTTGGATAGGCTAACAACTGGAGTGGCAACTACCCAATGCTAAGACAGACACATGCCAATTCACCCACATATTCCGTCAAACAGGTGGTGCGCGCCCCGGAGAGAAGCTACCACCCAACTCACTCCAATGAGCCTCTACTCAGATGGGTCTACGATACTGCGCCCTAGGCCCCGTTTGGCAGGGCTTCTCTAGCGGCTTCAGGAGCCGCTTGAAGCCGTTTTCTGCCAAACGGGGTAAAATAAAACGGCTCCACCGATGAAGCCCCTAAAAACGTGCTCTCACATAGCTTTGGGGTGGGAAGGAGCCAAAAATAGTGGCTTCTCTCGGCTTCACCTCATTCTACGTGGCGTTCTCTGAGAGCATATTTTAAGAAAAACTATATGTGAAGCTGTTTTGCCAAACAATTTATCAAAACGGCTACAGCTCCACTTATAGAGCTGTTCATGGAGCTGAAGCCCCAAAAAAGGGCTTCATAGGTGAATTGGAGCCGTGCCAAACGAGGTCCTAGTAGTCCGTTAAAAAAAGTAGTGCTGGCGCCCGGAAGTCCGATGGATACCGATCCATCGGACGGTGCCGCGGACGCAAGCCCCCGCACGTCTACGTGACGGAGGCCCACGCTGCTCCCCTGTTTCTCTTCTATGCTCATTTCCCCCACGCCGCTCGCGCCGCGCGCGCCCCTAGCTGGCCCCCGCAGCCCGTCCCCACAGCCCGCCGCGTCCGCCTTCGCACCGCCCCACGTGCGCGACGAGCATGCCCCATCGCCCCCCTGACCGCAGCACCCCCATCCGCTCGCCCCCAACGCTTCTGTCCGCTATCCCTCCGGCGAGCCACGCGCCCCCGGCCGCCTAGCTCGCCCTCCAGCCGAGCAACATAGAAAACTAGAATAAAACACGTGCAACAATACAAAAACAACTACTGCAATATTAGGCTGAAGCAGCTGAAACACCATGAACATATTATTGCAACAACATGGAACAAACTGCTGCAACAATAGGCTGAAGGAGCTGAAACATTTGGAACATATTATTGCAACACTAGGTGTGAAGCATATGAAACAACGCTCGAATAAAAACACTTGCAACAACATGGAACAGCTACTACAACATGAGATTGAAGCAACTGAAACATTTCGAAAATATTATTGCAACATTTGTGCCAAGCATATGAAACATCCAGATCAGAACGATTGCAACATTATCTAGAAACAAGTGAAACATTTTGAAACAATGCCTGCAGCAAAACCTTTGAAACAAAATGCAACATGGGCAAAACATCCTCCAGATCTACCAGTACAACATCCTTACGATTCAACTCCAACATACCTCTGAAGCATCTGAAACAATTGAAAGAGACAATTGCAACATATAGGGGGGAGAGAGCCTGCACAGGGAGCCCCATGGCCACCAGATCTGAGGGCGTCAGAAGCTCCCTGTGGGGGAGGACGCCGGGGTCGGGGAGGGGCGCCGCCGGTGTGCGGAGGAGGGACCCGGGATGTGGGAGGAGGACGCCGGGGTCGGGGAAGGAGACGTCGGTGTGGGCGAATGAGTCACCGTGGTGGGGGAGGGGCGCCGCCAGGGTGGGGAGGAGGGAGCTGGGGTGGGGGAGGAGGGCGCCGGGGTCGGAGAAGGAGACGTCGGTGTGGGGGAAGGAACAGCCGTGGTGGCGGAGGAGGACGCCGGAGTGGGAGAGGACACCGCCGGCCAAGAAGGGAGCGAGGTGTGTGGAGGACGGGCGGAAGGCGGGGAGGAGCGCAGCCGCTGGCTCGCAGCACTGCGGGGCGCAATCGGGGGCGCGCGGGGCTCCTGGATCCATGGGGGAGGAGAGGGGAGAGGAGAGGAGCAGCGGCAGCGGCAGCAAACGTGTGGACAGGCTGAACTGCAGTGCGAGCGGATAAGACCGTGAGAGACGAGTGGAGAAGGACACGCGGCGCCATATCGAATCGTTATACGACACGCGTCCGAAACTGTCGGACACCAGAGTCATAGCATTACCGTTAAAAAAAACGTCATCATGAATGCTTCTCATCGCCGCCGACCTCTGCCACAGACACCTGGCCGCCTGCTGCTTGTGTGTCGCGTGACCTTGGTGTGAGTCTCTGCAGTCCGCACAAGGGAATCTGTCCCCAGTTTCCTACCCGGACATCATCCTCGCGCAACCCGGAGTACTTTGATTGCATAATTTCGAATCCTTGGATTTAGGGTCTATTTAGCTCGGCTTTTCCCACCTCCGGTTCCTAGTTACAGTATCCAAAGAGCCAAACCATTTTTTTTCTAGTTTCATCCACTTCCATTTCATTTTAAGGGCTTAGGACAATAGAGAAAAATGGCTTTGTGTTATATTGCAAAAGATTACTTATATATTGAAACTGTTTTAGGAGAAGAAACCTTACAAAACGAGACATCAGATCAAAGAAAACAATAGTAATGGATACCTAGAGGATGTATGGGGCTTGTTGAGCGTGCTCCTCCTTGGCCAGTTCGTCGCATTTTCCATGGCTTCCTCAAGCTTCACATCCTCCCTCATAGCAAATCTTGGTACTAGTTTCACGTCAAACTGATCCACACATACAAAATTATCAGACGTGGTTGATGAAATTCTTGATAAAAATTATCTCGGTAGAGATAACATCAGTTCATTCCCACAAATATATTTATGCGGTAGTTGATGCACCACTCACGCAGTCTTGCTTTGCATACCTGTTGCTGATCTTACTCTATGTGCCAATCGTCTTGCGTCGACGGCAGAAGCTCCAAAAATAGCTCATAAGAATCAACCATGGAATCTTTTTGAGATTCATAGCTCTCAAACTCTCGCTATTTCGAGTATTCTTGTCTTGCAGATAGCTTGGTATTGGTATCTGGCCTTGGCCTTCATTGATGTCCAGGGGAACTATTTCCGTGAGTACAACTGTATAAGCACCGAACGACCATAACTTACAGTGAACCCATACCACCATCAATTTCCAGTGATATAATGTAGAGAGAATTATGTATTTGGCACTGAAACAAATCAGTCTTTCGTATTTAACACTTAAAAATTTGAACTTTCTTATCTGGCACCAAGTTAAAATTTCCTTCCATATATGACACTCCCGTCCATTTCATCTATTTATCTGTTAGTTGACTATTTTGACCGTGTCAGTTGTTTCTTAGTGTGACCAACGTATCCTCTGTTACTCACGCAACCAATTTCTCCCTGGACTTCCCGAGCGGCTGAGCGCTCATGTCTCCCGTGAGTCCGTGTCTTCTTCCCCGAAAAAAAACACCAAACCCTAAATTGATGGAAGAAGGAAAGGATGATGGAGCAGAGGATGTTGTGGCCGGCGGCGCCCAGCACCAGTTGCGCGTGCCCTCTGGCGGGGCGACCTCACCCGGCAGAGCCAGGCAGTGGCGCGGTCGCGGCGGCGGGGCTGACGCTCCGGCCAGCCCACAATGTGGCGGAGGCGGCGCAGCCCCTCTGGCCAGCCAGCAGCGTGGCAGAGGCCCGAATTCTCCTCTTGTCCTCAGGGATTCATCACTTGTTGTGTGTGATTTTTCGCTCCACTGAGTCCGTTCGTTTTTTTCCCTATTTTCGTTCTCGGCTACGATCTGAATTTCCCGGAGTTTAGGTCAATCCCAGGCGA